GCCACCGCGGGCTGCAGTCCCCGCCGCGGGGAGGGGCCGGCCTGCCTGCCCGCCCGCCCACAGCTCAGGCTGCCTTTTTTGTATGGCCGCCAGCACCCCGCGCCGCGTCCCCGCCGCCCAGCGCCCCGCACGACGGCGTGCCCCCGCCCTCTGGAGCCGGGCGGAAAGGCTGGCCTTAGCCTAGGCAAGGCTCCTGGCCCGCCTGCCAGGCAGCAGAGCCGCTTTCCGCGCTCAATAGAGCCTGCCCTGTCCTGGGCGCTCACTACACAGGCAGCAGGAGCCGCGACATGCCGTTCTGGCCGCCGGCGCCTCCTGGCAGCTCTGACAAGCCGCAGTCTTGTCTTCCTTGCCCCTGCCCTGTGCAGCCTCACCTGGTCCTCCTGCCGATTCCCGCCCGTCTCCCCTACCCAGGGCCGGACGCAGGCATGGGCGAACCAGGCGGCCTGAACATGGTGAAAATAATGGTTTTTACTATCATGATCTCTGGCCAACGGGGGCCCAATACTAAAAGGTTCGCCCGGGGGCCTCTAGGTGCGGTGTTGCCCCCACCTTTGGATGCGCTGTTCCAGGGTCCTCCGTGGGTCCCCTATGCCAAGAAGCAGGCAGGCGTTGGAGGTGCAAGGAGCTGCTTTTCGTGTCGCTGTCCCCTCCAAGCATCAGCTGGGGGAGTGGGGTGGGGTGGGACAGGGAAGGGGAGGAGTACAAAGGGCCTGGAGCCGACTGGTTTCTGCTGTGACTGTTTCCCCGAGTCCCAACTGCTCAGAAGAGCTGCACCAGCATTGCTTGAGAGCCATCACTGTGCCCATTTTGGGTGGATGTGGGGGATCCCAAAGCACTTTGCAAACATCAGCGCATTCAGCATTCCCCTCTGAAGGTACACGCATCATCAGCTTCAGTTTACAGACAGGGAAACTGAGGCACAAGAGGCAAGCCTTACCTTGCCTGAGGTCACGTGGCAAGTCTGTAGCAGAAGCTGGAATAGATCCTAGGCATCCTGACTCTCAGACCAGTGCCTGAACCCCTAATCCATCTTTCCTCTAATTAAAAAAAACACTGTTCTTCAAAGACAGGTAGCCAAGCTGGCCTCTAGAAACAGTCTCCTTTGGGCAAGTCTCTGCCTCCCCTTGCCAGACCACCTGTTCCGCTTCATGTGGGCACTAATGTTTCAGAGACTTCCCAAAGCCCTGGAGCATGCTAGTGCTCTAGGACTGAAGGCAGGATGCTGGTAGATGAGGTGGAGGGAGGGGTGAAGCCTCAGCTCCACCATGGTAAAGCAATGTCCTGTGGGTTTGTTAGGCCTTGTCCACACAGAAAAGTTGCACTGTTTTATTGCAAGAATGATATAACCCCTTTAGCATGGGCATGGTTATACTGCTACAAGAATGATTTAAACCAGTGGTGCTTAGCCTCTGGTTCATGAGCTGAATCCAGCCCCTGGGGCTGTGTCATTCAGTTTGTGGGCCTTTTCACTGCTCTGGAAATTTGGCAGTGGGGGAGCAGGGACAGCATTAGTCACCATGATTTCCAAAGCTGCTGCAGCCTGCAGACCAGCTCCATGCCAGTCATCCAGTCCACAGGGCCAGAAGATTGAGTGCTACCGCTTTAGACCCGTACAGCCAGTCCCTCGTGGAAGAAGATAACGCTACACTCATACAATGCCCCTTTATATAGATGTAACTGCATCCATTGTGGGGATTGCACTAGTCACTGTATATTAATAAAAATCATACCCTTAGCCAAACTACATATAGACCCAGCCCCAGCGAGCAGAGGTACGTTAGCCTTGAACATCACATTCTAGTCCAGGGCTGGGCAAAATGTGGCCCAGGGCCGGATGCAGCCCGCCAGGCCATTCTATCTGGCCTGTGGGGCCCCTAAAAATTTAGAAAGTTAATATTAATCTGCCTGTCATGCAGCTCTCAATGGCTTGCCAAAACTCAGTAAGCGGCCCTCTGCCCAAAATAATTGCCCACCCCGTCCTAGTCTCAACAAGGCCTCTGCTGAGGCTTGCTTTTTAGGGCAGTTCTCAACTGTCTACCTGTGTGTGTTGGAGGGGGCGGGGTGTATTCTTAAATTGAGTTAGCTAATCCCATCCAGAAGCTTTTTCCAATGGTGCTTGCTGATAGTGTCTCACCATAGGAAGGTCACAGCAGACACACTTTTAATTCAATCAAGAAGGCTCAATGTCAAATAACCCAGGGGAAGTCATAACTCCTCAAGAGCTATTGATTCAGACTGCTTGTCTGTAGAGACCTGTGATTGAGGGTACCCTTTGCCCCAGTCACAAGGGCTAGGTATTTACATGTTTACTTATGAGAGTGATTTTAAGCCTTGGATTTCCATAAATAATCTAAGCAGAGTGATGCCAACAGGGAAAAAAAAATCAGAGTACCTTGCTCCACCACAAACGAATCCAGTTCAACCCCTCCTCAGAGCAAATACAGTCAGTCACTCCCAGATGAAGGAAGTGTATTGCTTAACCCTTAGATCACACAGACCGAATGTTAAAAAAAAAAAAAAAAAAGCAACAACCTTCACCAATTCAGTGAAAAGCTTACACACGGAAATACCGCACTTTCAGCACGGAGCACACCCTGCTGATGATTGACTTGCCTCAAAGGGAGGTCACAGACAGGAAGTGAGGCAATGAAAGTTTACCCAGAAATCCCACCTATTACACCATCTTAGATGGTGAGGCAATGCAAAAAAAAGCCACACCGCCATGCATAGATGCATCCTTCTTCAAATAAGCTTTTCCATCTTCAGTTTAAAAGCCACACCGCCATGCATAGATGCATCCTTCTTCAAATAAGCTTTTCCATCTTCAGTTTCTTTTCTTATATTAAATCCCAAATTCTCCATCTCCAAGACTGGTACCCAAAGTCAAGGCTAGATAGTGATTGCATATGCAATAAAATACACCCTTCAGCTCCAGCAGAGAGCTTTAATTTTAAAGAAAGCCTTGAAAAGTAACTGAAGCAGTGGCGCCTGTCTAAGCCTGCAGATACCCTAACCAACAGCTTGGAGAGGATGACTCCCATCCTGTTCATCTCAGTGAGATGTTAATTTTGAAACCTAGTGATGGCCCTCCAGAAACTAGCACATTTAACTAATTCACTGCTGATTATCTGGCTGCTTCTGCTAAAATAATGTCAATCTGAAATTACCCCACTGCTGTAACTATACAATACTTCAGTAGAAAACCCTGTGGTATATCAAACATCTGCAGGGACACAATCAACCAGAGAGGGGGCTGCTGTGTGGACTGTAATACTCCTGCCACAAAGTTATTTGAAAACCTCCTTTTTCACCTAAATGAAGCTCCCAGGGAATCTCCCATCTGCTCCATCAGAGAGATGAAGAATCCAGGGCCATTTGCCAGACAGTCACAGGGCCTGCCATGTAGCCTATTTATCAACACTTTCTTCCATTTAGAAAGATGCACCCGAGTGATGGGAACTGGATCAAGTTAAAACCTTTTTGTAGGAGTGAGCAGAGAGAGAAAGAACCTAAGAAGCAGCAGAAACCACCAAAAACAAACCAACCAGATTCAAGGCCTCGTGCGTCAGCAAGACTAACAATTAGCACACTCTAATTTAAGATGCCATCTGCCCAATGGGGCCTGAACAAAAGAGGTGCTGTGCACCAGTTGTTCCCAGTCAGCTCTGTGTGCTCAGCACCTTTGACAGTCAGGCTCTACGTCCTTCAGGGCACTCTGCGGCACACCAGGCTGGGAAGCACAAATCCATGGTAACAATCTGTCATGGATTCCACAACACTTCAAACAAGGCAGCCACAAAGCTGCTTTTTGTGCCACAGTTTCAGGAAGCAAATGTCAATGTTCCCAGCATCCTTAGCTGAGTCAAAGTGTGAGGCAAAGAGACACATTTGGGCAAATATTATAAGAAGTCTCTATGTCACTGCATCCCCAAATGGCTCATAACTGCTTCAGCCCATATCACTCCTAATCTTAAGTACTTCATAAACACCATCTAATTCATTTGCAGACTTTTTGTGAGACTCACTGGCACTTCCAAGAACAGGAATTAATTTCTCTTTAATAGCAACTCAAGGCTTCAAATCCATTAGTGCCAAATCACAGAACAGCCATCAGTGACCGCCTGGAGACAGGCGCCCAGCAAAGTGCATGAAAACAAAGACAGATGAAAGCTTCCATGTGCTTAAAGTGCCGTGTGCACAGGAACATCCTAATCGTGCAACTGCTTCTATACAAACAGACCCCTGGCTTCCTGTTGCCACTTGTCCAGTTTGTATCTGACAGTTCATGAGTTAGGGGTGGCTGGGGAGTCTTTGTAAGGACTCCAGTTGGACACCTAACCCAGATTCCCAATGTCCAGTAGTTGGCCCTCCATTAAGCAGTGACCACTACCTAAAATAAAAACACAGAACAGCTTTAGCTAAA